ATTTAAAGGAAAACTATGTGAATGGCGCTCTGTGGCGCGGCAGGATTTTCTATCGGCTGCATTTAAATCCGCGTCTGAAGTTTCCCGCTCTGTTCAGCGTGCAGTATCACATGTCTAAACAAATAGCACGTGCTGTCAGTGATTTCAACCACTAGAGGCCGCTCTCGCACTGAATAATGACAGCAGACCCTTCTCAGCCGCTCCAGCAATGGACGCAACCCGGAAAACTATCGGCATGGATTTTTGCCGATAACTGATAGTTCCAGCAATCAACTATCGGTGCCGATTAATCGGCAAAGCCGATACATCGGTCGACCTCTATTCTAAAGTGTGCTTCTTTTTCACAAGGGGAGACACACAAGTAGATTTTTACATGCATTTGCTATAGGAAGTTTGATACTTAGGCAAAAGTAAACATCATGATTGCTTTAGCAACCACCTTTTAATAACCTGCGAAGATTTTCTTTCGGTCTGTTGATGTTTCTCCACACTAACCTGCGGGGTTGTTTATGCCAACTGGTGCGTCTGGCTTTGTCTGTGTTACTATAGTTACCAGAACGCAGAGAGAGAGAGACATGAGTTCATGTGTGAAGTGGAGCAGAAGTAATTTCTGAAATGTGGGCGAGCCAAACTGGAGGCCTAATCCTCTTACACGGGAAGACTAACAAATACAGGCTCTCGCAGAGCTGACATAGTTTCGAGCGTGTTCAAAGCTTGTGCACGATCAGCAACCGAGCCGAGATTCTGCGGCGCGTAATCTGAAGGGCCTCTGGGAGACGTTTATGAACATTAATGTTTGCTGCAGCAGACTGAAGTGCACAGAAGAGCCGTATAAAACCTGCGGAACTTGACATAGTTTGTTAAAGAGAGTTCACCCAAAACGTGAAAATCATGTCATCATTTACTCAGAGTTTCTGTCTTGTTGAATGCAAAAGAAGATATTTTGAAAAATGTTGGGAACCAAACAGGTGACCATTAGCCATTGCCTTCCATAGTATGGAAAAAAAATATACAATGGAAGTGAATAGCTACCGTCAACTTATTTTTTCACAAAATGGGTGAATAAACAATAAATGACAGAATTCTCATTTTTGAGTGAATCAGCATCGTGAGATGTTCATGTGGAAAAGACTCACAAACATTGATATAACAGCAAGGACGGAGCTGTAAATCACCGGAGTGCCGATCTGTGAAAGTGAGCTGGAAAGACAATGGTTTAATAAGCAATTAAATTCAAGCAAACAGCAAATGTTTTAAGGAAATGACTTAACACATTGTGATGTGAAGTGCTTGTTATTTTTCTCACAGAGAGATGCTTTTTTGGGGCACGTTTTGTCGTGGTAATTGATGTGAAATGGTTTGTACTTCATCAGGAGTGTGCGCTCGAGTCGGGGAGGGAAATAAAAAGTTAATTAAGCAGCTCCTGGATGTAATGAAAAACATGTGTGCACAGATGGCTGGGAGGACAAATTATCACCAGAAATTATCAAAACAAATGAGTTTTCCACGCTCTTTCAGGACTATTTGGAACACACAAGGCGAGGAGTAATTTGGGCTGTTTTTCTGTCGCTCTTTCTCTCAGACTCCATATATTAACTCTGATGTGAAGGGCAGCACTGAAGGATTCTCAGCTCAGCTCAATGGACAAACTTCATCTGAAGAGTACAAACACATCATCTTCTATCTATCTATCTATCTATCTATCTATCTATCTATTGTTTTATTGTTCCATCCATCTATCATTATTTCTATCACTCCATCATTCCATCCATCCATCATTCAATCATTCAATTGTTCCATCCATCCATCGTTCTATCTATCGTTCTATCATTTCATCCATCCATTCGTCCATCGTTCTATCTATGTACTATCATCTATTGATTCATCCGTCATCACTCTATCATTCCATCCATCCATTCATCCATCCATCGTTCTATCTATTATACTATCATCTATCATCTATCTCTCCATTCATCATTCTATGTATTGTTTTACTGTTCCATCCATCTATCAATCTTTCTATCACTCTATCATTCCATCCATCCATCCATCATCTATCATTCTATTGTTCAATCCATCCATCCATAGTTATATCTATCATTCTACCATTCCATCCTATCTATCTATCTATCTATCTATCTATCTATCTATCTATCGAGAGCTGAAAATAAATGTTGCATTATATCAAACTTAAACTTATTTTATTTTTGAAAATCAGATTCAGTTATATTCTCTACATTTTGATGCAAGAAACTCCTGTCAGATGATCAGTGATTTGTACACACAGCTCTTCTAGTTTGTTCCCATTTTAAAAATAAAGATTACTCATATTTTAAAGATCTGCTGCAATTCTAATCTTAATCACAAATGTGTCACCAGTTCATGTAACGTCAGCATTTTCAGCTCAAAGTCACTGCTCAAGCTAGTTTTCTGACATGTTAGTGCTTTTTAGCAGTTTGGTGCCTCTTTGTGAGAGCAAATTTCTGCCTGCTTATTATATGGGCCACAGAAATATAGATATTTATCTCACAATGTACTACAATAACTGTGTTGCATAACTGTGCTTAGTTCAACCATTAGGTCACCATTCACATTGTAATTTATTTATTTCCTTGTGAAAAACAATTACACTTTAGCAGACATTTAAAAAGAGAACTTATTAGAAAAATAATATACTTTAAAAGAATATACTTAAGTGTGAACCGAATGTGTTGTTTTCAGACGCTTAATTGCAATCAAATGAAAATGGTGCTTTACATGTGCTTTAATATGTTAGTCAGCAAATCAAAATAAGTATACTTAACAGAAAGACGAAAGATTATTAAAACAATGATTTGACATTTCTACTAAGTTCACTTTTTAAAAGTGAGCTTAAGTGTGTTAAACTGTCATGAAAGTGTCTCTCTTTAAGTCACTTAAGTGGCCTTTCATTTCATTAATATTATATTATCTGCAAGGACAGTTTTTTACAAATATACTTTTAAGATTTGAAGTACACTACAAGTGCACGTTCACTACAATTAAGCGCACTTCTCTCTCACAATGAATTCGTTGACTTCAAGAAAGCAGTCTTAAGGAACCGTTCACCTAAAGATTCGTGTCATCATCCCTTCAAGTCATTCTGAACTCAATTGAAGCTTGAAACTCGTCACGTTCGTTGCTCTGTAGTGATTGTGAGTTGATCTCAGTACATTTTTGGTTGTTAAACATATGTTTCTCTATTCTAGCGATGGAAAACTAAAGGAGGGAGATCAGATACTGGCAATTAATGGTCAGCTGTTGGATCAGAGCGTCAGTCACCAGCAGGCCATCGTTCTCCTGCAGCAAGCGTCGGACCGCATGAGCCTCACTGTCGCCCGTGGGCCTGTCCCGCAGCTCTCCAGCCCAGTGGTGTCCAGGACTCCCAGTGCTGCTAGCACACTTTCAGCTCACCTATCTATCTATCTATCTATCTATTGTTTTATTGTTCCATCCATCTATCATTATTTCTATCACTCCATCATTCCATCCATCCATCATTCAATCATTCAATTGTTCCATCCATCCATCGTTCTATCTATCGTTCTATCATTTCATCCATCCATTCGTCCATCGTTCTATCTATGTACTATCATCTATTGATTCATCCGTCATCACTCTATCATTCCATCCATCCATTCATCCATCCATCGTTCTATCTATTATACTATCATCTATCATCTATCTCTCCATTCATCATTCTATGTATTGTTTTACTGTTCCATCCATCTATCAATCTTTCTATCACTCTATCATTCCATCCATCCATCCATCATCTATCATTCTATTGTTCAATCCATCCATCCATAGTTATATCTATCATTCTACCATTCCATCCTATCTATCTATCTATCTATCTATCTATCTATCTATCTATCGAGAGCTGAAAATAAATGTTGCATTATATCAAACTTAAACTTATTTTATTTTTGAAAATCAGATTCAGTTATATTCTCTACATTTTGATGCAAGAATAAAATTAATGTTAAAAAGATAAAATAGAATTCTTCAGTGGCATTTTTTCCTAGTTTCCCCCTCTTCTATGATGTTGCATGGTTGCAACTTTGTCCCCCTGGCCCTTGTTTGGCCATCTCAGATCTATCTAGATCATTTAAATCTTTGTGTTTTACTATTTAAACCCTAAACTCTCATACAGTAGTTAAATAGTCAGTACGATATCACACATTTAGTCATTTACTTCTGAAAGCAAATTCAAACAGCTGTGTGATTGTGACTGTATGTGTTGTTGTTGTTCTGTGTGTGTGTGTGTGTGTGTGTAGGGTCGGTACGTGACTCAAATCGACCTGCTGAAGCCGGTATCGGGCAGTTTGGGCTTCAGTGTTGTTGGCTTGTGTAGTGAGAACCGTGGAGAACTTGGCATCTTCATTCAGGAGATACAGGCTGGAAGTGTGGCATACAGGTCAGAACACACACACACACACATACACTCATCCAGTCAGATGATCAGTGATTTGTACACACCACTCCTCTAGTTCGTTCCCATTTTAAAAATAAAGATTACTCATATTTTAAAGATCTGCTGCAATTCTCATTTCTTCCCTTCTAATCACAAATGTGTCACCAGTTCATGTCACGTCAGCATTTTCCTGCTCAAAGTCACTGCTGAAGCTAGTTTGCTGACATGTTGGTGCATTTTATCACTTTGGTGTCTCTTTGTGAGAGCAAATTGCTGCCTGCTCGTTATGTGCTCCATACACATATTGATATATCTTACATTGTACTACAAAAACAGTGTTGCATAATCATTCTTAGTTCAGCCATTAGGTCATCATTCACATTGTCATTTATTTATTTTTTGTAATTTTGTCCTTCTGAAAAAGAATTACACTTTAGCAGCCTTTTAAAAAGAGCAATTATTAGGAAAATATGCTTATATGAATACACTTAAGTGTGAACCGAATGTAATGTTTTCAGACACTTATTTGCATGTTAATTGCAAACAAATGAAACTAGTACTTTACTGGACTTCTTTAAAGAACATTAAACATCTTTCTGTTCAAAAACTTTTAACTGGTAGTGTGTTATCTGCCAGCTTGAAACTCATCACATTCTTTGCTCTGTAGTGATTGTGAGCTGATCTCAGAACAGATTTGCTTGTTAAACATATGTTTCTCTATTCTAGTGATGGAAAGCTAAAGGAAGGAGATCAGATACTGGCGATTAACGGTCAGCTGTTGGATCAGAGCGTCAGTCACCAGCAGGCCATCGTTCTCCTGCAGCGAGCGTCAGACTGCGTGAGCCTCACTGTCGCCCGTGGGCCTGTCCCGCAGCTCTCCAGCCCGGTGGTGTCCAGGACTCCCAGTGCTGCTAGCACACTTTCAGCTCACTCCAGTGCGGTGAGACACAACACACACACACACAGACACACAACACACACACACTCACACACACACACACACACACACAC